ATGTCAGAGAGTCGTCCCCTGAGGAGCCATCAGGCGTATCTCGAGTTTCCAGAATCTCTGTGTCTGTGGAAGCATCAGATTCGAAGATCTCAATTATCCAATCACTTTCAGATGACGAATCATCATCAGGTTCATTTGTTGATTTATCAGTCAATGAAAAGGTGAAGATCTTTTACATGCCAAGGCATCCTTTCAACTATTATTGTTTGTGCAACCTACTTAATACTTGGGGGTACACCAGACATTGGGAGCTTTCACCCACACTCTATTCCCAACTTTGTATATACCATGATTCTTACAGCAATCAGGTAGTAATATTGTATTAATTAAATTCACTTTCAGTTGGTAATGGTGAATCATATTAGCAGGCCTATTTGTGGACAATGTATCATCCTTTGGTGTGATACTATGCCAATACACTGCCTCCATTATCGAACACTGCTTTCTTGCTGCAATTCTCTTTATGGTGCAATGAGATCTTTCCACTATAACATTTCCTGCAGGAACATATGCACAACAAAAGAAGTTGGACTCCCCAGTCATCCAAGAAATCTTTAATGGACTTACTGCAAAATGCAGTGTCATTGTCAGTTAGGATTTCTGATGGTGGGCCTCATTCAAAAAAATACTTTCCAACTGTCGGATGACGCTTCTTGAGTCTTGTTGAAACAAGCATCGACATAACACGAATTGATTGGGGTCACAATCAATCAACATAAGGTAGTGTTGTCCACTGTAATGTGTAATATCCATTCCCAAGAGGGACCACATTCCAGTCACACTTAGGTTGCTACATGGCCAATGACTTGAGGCTGGGTCAATTGACTGGTATTCTTTGCATTTTCTGACCACTGTATTGACAGCCCCTTGGATGTCATAGGATAAACTCGTCTCACAAAATACATCTGCCTGACACCAGGATGTCCATTCTGGCAATGTATGGCACATATCTGATCCAGAGAGGTTTCATTCACCATGGAAGTGCATATTGGTCATGTTGGTTTTGACTTCCTTCTTGATCGCATCATACCATTGTTGTGGTACTCTTGTGAACTTAACCGCTCGATTCTCACTTAATGTAACTAAACTTATTGTGATCAATAAGTTATACTCATGGATCAGCTTTTCAAGAGTACTCAAATGCCTCCCGATCAGCATCTCACTTGCCATCTTAGTTCGTATTCTGGCTTTGCCAGTGAGCATGTTTGATACCCACCAGTGCACACATGCAGAGTCTGTGAAGAGGTGTAGCTCTGTTGTGCCCGAACTGTAGTGCTAAATTGGCGCCCTTCAGAATAGCGTCCAATTCTGATAAATTGATATGTTGTGCATCCTTCACAGGCTGCAACCAACATGTGTCCTCTACAATACTTCCATCAACCTCCAACGAAACCCCTGTGGCGAGAGAACTTGCATCGACCCACACCTCATAAGTGTGTCCACTTGTGCACCACTTAGGGTATGCAAGGTCATTCTGGCACATTCTTTCTGCTATATCCTCAATCATGTTCTTAAGGGCGAGCATCTGTCACTTCGTCGTCCCAGCCAGACATGATCGATACTGTTCTGCGTTTAAAAAATGATGCAGCAGCACGAAGCCAACTACACACAGGAATGTGACCCACCAGTTTTTCACGGCATGAGAAGACATTTCATAGCGTCAGGACCTCAGAGACTGATGAAATGTCATTTTCACGTTTCCGTTTAAGCATGTTGTTATCCTGCTTAACATGCAAACCCAGGCATTTTATGCCCTTTGATTCCAATTTGACCCAGAAATTGGTACAGGGTACCTGCAATTTCCACTGCTCTGATAATTACATTATACCCTTCCTTTACCAACTCTGTTTTTATATTTTCATATTTATTAGTTTTATATTTGTGACTTTGTTCTATCTGGCTCTCATATGGTATTGTTAATTCTACCAGGATGATTTTTTAGTTCACCCTTGTTAGAAGAACAATATCTGGTTGTAGTTATCTGCATTTATTAAATTTGCATTCTTACTGGTTATTTCAGTGCTAGACAAATCTGTTAAAGAGTCTCTTTTGCATAACTACCTTAAATTTTTTTTTTTAGTTAATAAGACATTACAACTTATACCAAGTCAAAACTTAATAGTAACTTAATAATATGACAACAGATTCCTAAGCCCCATAACAATTATATATATCTGGACTTACTGCCATACCTGGGACCTGACTGCCATCTCACTCTTACTTTTATCTTTATTTTTGCTTTTATTTATCTTTTCTCTCCCCCACCCTTTTTTCTTAATCTCCAATATAACTTTTCAGTGCAAAGCTCTCCAGGAGTGCTCTCAACTGGCAAAAGAAAACCAAACAAAAAAATTAACCTGTAACACTGTATGTATGAATATAATTTAATCATAATGACTATTTAGCTTTGCTTATTTTTGGGATGGTTTCACATATGTAATTTCCCCCTATTATCAAATCTACTTAACAACAATATGTAAAATGGTCCTTTAACAATATTTTATTTATTCTATATATAAATATTCTTTTGTTATTTATTGACATTTTTGTTTTAATTTTAACTTGATTGAATGAACTAATTTTATATTAATATTTCTTTGATTCCAAGAGAGGTTTTAATAATCCAGTAATTCCCCCTTGGCCTGGATGGTGTCTAAAGCCTTATTTGGCACCCTTCCCAGAGATGGTATCTTGACAAAAGCACCCAGCCTCCTCTGAACAGGTAATAGGAATAGATAGGTTTGCCTATCACCCAGCTAGCACTCCTTCTATGTTTATTTAACATGAGTAAAGGTTTATACTTTGTTTCCTGTTTAGGATATAGTTTACTGGTTCTTTCTTCTTCCATGGCCTTAATGATTTAACTATCTTAACTTTTTGCTCATCTGACTGATCAGCGGCTGTGACTTTTCATTATGGTGGTACCAGATTAGCAGTTTTCTAGTTGCTGCATCTGACTGGTTGTAAGGAGCCTGAACTCTTTGGTAGCACTTAGAGAGGCTGTTCTGATCAGCAGTTGCATAATATCAGGGTATTTGTAGTGCCATGGCGCACATGGGTAGGTATCCCTGCATGCTGGTGGGTTACCTTAAGGCCATATTATATTTTAGTCTTAGTTTCCTTCTGTCCAGTTTGTATTGCCATTGGTGATATTGATAATAATTTGTCTTAACAAAATCTTCTCATGACAGATACATTAAAAAGAAATGAGTAAACCAGTAAAAAAAAAAAAAAAAAAAAATTACCCCACCCCCGCCTTTCTTTCTCCAATATGTATGGAAAACATTCCAGTTTCTCTTGTTCTCCAGATGTCTTTGCACTTTGTCAAACTAATTTAAATTCTTCGAGATTATAAAGCTGCTAAAATGCAAGAGGTGTTAGAGAATACGAGAAAAATTTCCTATTAAGGACAGAGGATAATAAATGAACAATAATTAAGATGATAGAAGATAATGATTTACATTGCATTTAAATTTTTCAAGATCAAAGTTGACTGAAAAGCAAGAAGCCAGAAGAGAATTCCACAAGTTAGAAGTATGATAGAAGAAATTGTTAGCATAGAACTTAGTTACAACTAGCCATTTCAACTGTAATGAGACTTTTGCTTCCAGTCTAGTACTGCACTTAAATTCATAAAATCTAGGTACCATAGAGGAAAGTTCCTCAGAACAATTACCATGAAAATATTTATAGAAAAAGCACAGGGAAGTTACAAGACAGAAACTACACCTCGTGTACTCACTGCAACCAATTTCTCACAGTCAAGCATATCTTGATAGAATGTAAGCAGTACAAAAAAAATATGTAGCAGCTATTACCAAGCTCAAAATCTCAACATCCTCTTCAAAAATGTACCTACAGAGGTTGATATGCTGGTAAAACAAATGAACAATCAATCAATCACACAGTAGTTTCTGTTGATATTTTTTTCATTGTCTATTAGAAAGGAACCTCCTATTCACAAGACTTCTTTCTGCTACTGTAAGTTCTATGCTAACAGTTTCTTCTATCACACTTCTCATTTGTGGAATTCACTTCTGGCTTCTTGCTTCCCAGTCAACTTTGATCTTGAAAAATTTAAATGCAGTGTCAATCATTTTCTTCTGTCTTCTTAATTCTTGTTCTTTTATTGTTCTTTGTCTTTAATAGTGTTTTTTTTCTCTTATTTTCTCACCATTGTGTCTTAATGGCTTTATTACTTTACTTGGGTTGAAATGATGGAAAAAATATGGTTTAAGAAAATGCATAAAACCAACAGAAGCAAAAATGATTAGTGTGTGTCTGTCTGGACAAAATACAATGACTACTGTATACATTTAAATTTAAAGAAAAAAATTATAATAATAAAAAATTATATTTAAAGAAAATATAAGAAAACTATTTAAACTGTATAATATCCACCAATGAAACAAGTTTGATTTAAGATGAGGATCAGTTGGCAATATTCATTCACTCAGCGATACAAATTTTGATGCATTGGACTGAATAGTCTTGCACAAAATGAATGCAGTATAACATTTTGGCTTGCATGTACCTCCAGTTGTATTGGTGCAGAGATATGAAACTAACTGATTATTAAAGATGAGACATTGCTCTACAAGACTGTACAATTTTCATTTTTTGAAGTGTTGAATTTCTATGGTATTTTTTCCACTAAAGTTTTCAACTTGAATTTTTTTTCTGAAAGATAGCTTCAAATCTTATCTTAAGCCCAACAAATTGACAAGTGCACTTTTTCTTTTAATATGTGTAAGGAGACAACTCAAAGCTCAGCAAGTTTGGAAAACACAACTACAAAATTGTCCACTTTTAAAATGCAGAAAAAGTGCACATCGTTGAAATAGTGACATAATTTAAAGACATGGAATGAAAAGTAATCATCACACACGTGATTGAATTGTATCTGTATAAAGAGAAGATTATTTTGACAGAATTTCATAGTTTGAGATACCTACTTTTTGCTTCAACTCTTTCTACAAATTACTTTCTATATATTTCAGGATAAAGATGGCAGCTTATCTCCAACTGAGATGCAGAATTTGTTCAGCACAAGTCCTGTTAATCCTTGGGGTCCAGATGTAAATAACACTGTTTGTACAAACAGTGGCAACTGGATCAATCTCAATGGCTACCTCGCTCAGTGGACGTAAGTATACTTTATTTTTCTATATTTAACACTGCAGAGACTGCCCAAACTGTAAGCAAATTATGAATTGTAGGGTGTTTTTCTTTTTTCTCATACCTATCAGCATTTTAACTGATTATTAACATTATTTAAATATAGATAAGTATATTTCTTTTAAGATTTCAGTATAAGCAGCTCATTCTTTTCTTTCATCAATTGTCATTGATCAAATTATATGATTTAGTTTTTTTTTGTTTTTTTTTTTGTGTCTATGTGTGTGACTTTTTAATTCCTAAAATTTTAATTAACTTAAAACAAAAACTTATCAACCAAAATTTATAGTCATAGCATTTTCAAGTTTTTTGGTCAAGCCTATACAGTTGCCCACTCTTTGTTTTTGTCTGTATATTGTAATAGAAGTGACAGTGACTTACCAGGAGCAAAGCGAATTCGCTGCCTCGCGTATCGAACCATTCTCTGAGAGTCGGTCGCGTGTGCGTACGCCTACTGCCATTTTTATGCAGCAGACTTATTTGCATAAGAGAACCACGCTACCGATTAAAAACCCGGCGAGTGGATGTGGGAGGCCACTGCTCTTCTAGGCTTCGGCAAGACTAGACGTAGTGCTGACAGAAAGCGACAACAATTTCTGGACATCTGACAAGCTATTTCGGCGAACATGGACAGCCAGTTTGATTTAAAAATTATTCCCGAGTTTGACGGGACTGGATCTGTGGTTGAATGGCTTGAGAAGTTGGAATTGGTGTGCGACCTATCGGGAGTGAAGCGGCTTGATCGTGTCATCCCCCCTCGCTTAACCAGGGGAGCATTCGCGGTTTACCAGCAACTATCTACGGAAGAGAAATCGGACGTGGCTCGAATCAAGGGAGCATTGATGACAGCATTTGCCCCTGGTAAATTCACTGCATACGAACAATTGCGTCCGGGTGAGACCATAGATGTATATTTGGCTGATCTACGGAAGCTCTCCGTCCTTTTTGGAGGAATGCCAGACAGTGCGGGGGCTTCCTGATCCTGTGAAAAGGCTCCTGCGGTCCTCGGCCAGGGCGGGTGATATGTCTCTCAAGGAGCTATTGGCCTGAGCTCGGGCAATCATGAAGGACGAGGCAGCAGAGAGGGAACCAGTTGTCGCTGCGGTGCAGCCCTCCCAGTCTCCTCGATCTTCCCCAGACATGGGCCCACTTGTCACATGCTATGAATGTAATGGGCCCAATCACTTCACGAGGGACTGCGTGAAGAGGCGAAGGGCAACTAACGCGCGTTGCTATCGATGCAACAAGACCGGTCATCTGGCCAAAAATTGTCCGGGAAACGGAGGTGGGGACGAGACTTCAGCGCCGGTCCACTCCCCAAACAGCAAGTAAACTCGGTGCTACCCATCATTACTGTGTGTGTTGACAGCACACCATGCTCGGCTCTCCTTGACTCTGGGTGCTCACGGTCAATCTTGAGCGCGAGTTTATGTCGGTCTTGGTTGAAGCAGGGTATGGCGGTATCTACATTAACCGGAGCTACGCAGGCTTGCTGTGGAAGGGGCACCGTCAGAATTTGCACAGCAACTGGTAATACTGCTACAATCAATGTGCTGGTTATGCGAGGGAAGCCCCTGGATTTCGACCTGTTGTTTGGCATCGACACCATTAAGGCACTCGGTGGAGTTCGCATCACGCAGCATGGAAGCATGGAATTTGAAAAACCACGGTCCGTCTGTGCAGTGATTCATATCAGTGAAGCCGATTTCAGTGCTAAATTCAATGAACGGCAGGGAGTTTGGGTCGCATCCTGGAAGTGGTCGGCAGGTCATGCACCAGGGAAACTTCAGAATCGGATCTCGGAATATCCAGTATCCAGTGAGATGAGAGAGGAGTACAAGCATGAATTACAAACATGGATGGACAATGGTTGGTTGGTGCCGTTACAGTAACAAGGAGTTTGGCCGCCCAAGGACTGATACCACTGATGGCCGTGCTGCAGACCAACAAGCATAAGGTGCGTCCTGTGATGGACTATAGGAACTAAATACCTACGTTGAAACATTCACAGGTGCCGTGGATGTTTGGCGCAGAAAAAAACTGCAAGACTGGAGACAGCAGGGTGCGAACGTGTCCATTCTGGACCTCAGGAAAACATATCTACAGATCCGTGTTGAAAAATCCCTGTGTCCATATCAAACAGTTATGTTTAAAGGGAAGCGGTATTGTTTGACCAGTCTGGGGTTCGGCCTGAATGTGGCGCTCCTGGTAATGCGAGCTGTGCTTAAGGCTGTGTTAGCACAGAATGAAACTATAAATAGAGCAATGTCAGCATATATTGATGATATATATATCAACAAGGATGTGGCGTCGGCGGAATCTGTGAGGAAACATCTCGAGCTCTACGGACTAACGAGCAAGGATCCAGAGAAGTTACAGGATGGAGCCAGAGTGCTGGGGATAGAAGTATGGAAGGAACAGGGTAGACTGCGATGGCGACGAGGAAGTAGAATGGTAAACGGCCCTATGACTATGGCACGGAGAGGTATTTACTCCATGTATGGCCGGCTGGTGGGACACTTCCCCGTGTGTGGATGGCTGCAAGTGGCGACAGGCGTCATCAAACATCGAGCCACTGCTGTAACGCAAAACTGGGACGACAAAATTTGTGATGCTCCCCTGGAACGTATGATAACGGACTGGATCCTGCACATGGAGAATGGTGCGTGAATACGAAGGAGCTAGACGTGTGGGTGGACGCAAGTTCGCTGGCTGTAGGAGTAGCGCTCGAGGCTAAGGGAGCCATCATCGAGGACGCATGCGTGCTACGGCCGATAAAAAAACACCCAGCATATCAATGTGGCTGAACTGAATGCCGTGCTGAAGGGAATCAACCTCGCGCTAAAATGGCAGGCTACGGTATTACATGTGAACACAGACTCCCTCTGCGTGTACCGTTGGGTGACTAATGCCCTTACGGGAAAGTCTCGGCTGAACACCAAGGCCGCTAACGAGATGCTCATAAGGTGACGACTTGAAACTCTAACTTCTCTTGTGAAAGAGTATAAACTTTCCGTTGACATAGCGCTAGTTAGATCCGACCAGAACCGAGCTGATTTGCTGACTAGAGTTCCCCAGAGGTGGTTCAACAATGTGAAGGACCTCGAACCTGTTCAACCAGTATGTACTTCTGCCGTAGGAAACCCGAGCCTTGCTCAGTTAACTGAGATTCATCGACACAGCGGGCACCCTGGAGTTAAACGGACACTATATTTCGCGTAGGATCAACCCGTCCGTGTCGAAAGCAGCAGTAAGATCGGCCGCTCGGGTTGTGAACAGTGTCAGTCAATAGATCCAGCTTCTGTGCCATGGCAGAAGGGAGAGTTCAGTGTCGCGTGAAACTTGGAGTTGTCTGGGAATGGACATCACACACTATAACGGGTCGCCATTTTTTGACTCTGATCGATTGCAGCCCCACGGTTTTTCGATCTGGCGGCCACTAGTTCGGCAAGACGCTGCACACGTAATCCGCAATTGAGTCGGTGTTTTTTCGAACGTGGTGCCCGATGGAAATCCTGGCTGATAATGACACTGCACTCCGCAGTCAGCAATTCAAACAATTCACGGAAGAATGGGGCGTCCGATTCCGACCGCGCTGCGCGTACAAACCATCTGGAAATGGTATTGTAGAGAGGTGTCATTGGACAATCAAACGGATTGCTGCGTGAAAGAGCTGCTCTATTATGGAGGCCGTGTATTGGTATAACATTACACCCAGGGATGATGTGTCTGCCTCTTCTGCGGCCGCCAATCTGCTGCATTCGTACAAAATTCGAATAAAAGGAATTGACATTGTGTTCTCGCCTAACCGGGCGACTTCGACTCTGTATAAAGAAGGAGACGCAGTTTGGGTAAAAAATCCTCACAGACGCTGCACGTCAAAGTTTGTGAAAGGTCGTGTCACGGGAATAAACAGTTGGTAGTCATTGACGGGATACCGCAACACGTGGGAGATGTACGTCCACGGCTCACTTCGTTGTTACCAACGGATGATGGCGATGACACAACGTCAGGGTGTGATGAATGGCAAGAACCAAGCTCCAGTGCAAGCAGCAGCGACACCTCATCTGAAAGCGAGAAAGAAGTAGACTTGATCCTTATTGATCCCCTGGAATATGATTCAGACCAGGACACATCTGACGATTCAGCCGGGGAGGAAGTCATGGTTATACCACCGCGAAGGAGTGCAAGGGTGAAACAACCAGCCCGTCACTGTCACTTATGCATAAGAGAACCACGCTACCGATTAAAAACCCGGCGAGTGGATGTGGGAGGCCACTGCTCTTCTAGGCTCCGGCGAGACTAGACGTATTGCTGACAGAAAGCGACAGCAATTTCTGGACATCTGACAGACTTTTGAAAATCTTAATGGTTATATATTAAACAAATATTGGCTGTACAAAAATTTCCAGCATTTCTTATCATTAATTAATAATTGCTACATAAACATTGAAACATTTTCCTTAACTTTCTATGATTTTACACTAATATTTTAAGTTTTCAAATTCTTTCTGACTCCAAAACAAAGTGACCTGTTGAATTTTGAATACTGAAGACAACTTTGAATTTGTGACTAAATAAGGAATGTTGCATTGATTCAAACAAATGTTAATGCAGTGGTACTAAGTTTGGTGAATATTCCTCATGAGGAAGAATTTCTCATCTCAACTCTATTATTATTATTATTTTACCAAGTGACATGTATCAGTATGACTATGCAATTTCTTTATCCTGCATATAGTCTTTTTCTTGAGTATCAGCACTTGTACTTCAAACTGCAATAGGTAGTTTTACAATTGTTGAGTGAGTAACAGCAAGTTTTTCAGCCAGTTCTAACTTTGAGTGTGGTTATCATCAAAAAGAGTTTGCAAGTCACCACTTTCAAATTCTTCTTTTCTATAACTGTGCAGTTTGCCCTCAAAGACAAATTAATCTTTCTTGAACTTTACATACCATTCATGACATGTATTGCTTCCAGCCAAACTCTACATAGGCTTCATCAATCATCTTTGTTTCTGTTGAATGCCTTATTCAATTTGTATCTTTTCAAATCTTATTTTTTTCCTTTTTGGTATTGGATATATGAACACTGAATACAGAAAACTCAAAACTACTTCTTAGCCATATATTCAATCTCTAGTTTTCAAGGAGAGGTTCTGAAAATTTTTGCAAATATCTAACAAAAGCAAATAATCACTAAACCACAAGTGCACATAATGCTTGCATGTTTATTTTAAAGTAAATATTTTTACTCAAAATGCTTGAAACAAAATGGCTTTTTTTTTTTTTCAGACCTTAATTTTCTGTCTCCAAGTTGTTTTTGTTTTTTTTTTTTAAGAAGTTGATTTAAAAATTTCACTAGATACCAGTTTAGTGGGTGTTTTCCTATCTTATATTTAATGTTTGATTGAACCTTAAAGGCTTGTGGAAATTCTTTATCTAATTTTTTTGTTAGTTAACCAAAATTCATCATTCAAGTATCGTTTGCTTGGATCTCCAAAGGTAACCAAAGAACAAGCACTAAAGGTTTTGATGTTGTTTTAAAATTTTAGCTCAGTAACATAAATATTTTGTTAATATTCCATGAAATATAAGCAAATAATATCTGAAAGTTAAGAGTATATGATAATAAATCTGCTTTCTGAACAATAAGAAATAATAATTGATATTAGGTATAGTTTTTAATTAGCTAATTATTCACTATCACTAATGAGTCCCTTCATTAAAAAAAAAAAAAATTCCCAGTCATAGATTAGTAGTAATTTACAGCTAACATACTTGCCTTCAAGCTATGTGGTTGCTAGACTTTCACTTTATAAGCATTGCTCTTTTTCTATATGTATGTATTTGTATCTATTTTAATGAATAATCATTATTTCCAAATGAAAAAAATTTTTTCTTTTTTTGTCTTGTAGGTTAACCACATTGTTGGATCATCCCCGAACCATAGAATATCTTGCTTATCTAGGTTATCATTATTATTTTGACAACCAGCTCTCAGCTATTCAAGGTAGATTTTCCCTCCTACCTTTTTTCTTTCCTTTCCACCCCAAGTTGTGACTAGACTAAAAATTATTAAGGTTTCTTCAAAAATTACCAATGTTAATAGATCAAAACTCTTATACTAATATAGATACACACAAAAAGTCTCATCTTAAAACATTTCCCAAAAAAAGCACCCTCTCATGAGATATATATAACTAGGATGTCATATTGTTAAAAGAAGAATTTTTAAATTACATTTTATATGGATATAGATTCTATGATGAACATTAATCATTTAATTTTTCTTAATAGAGAAAACCAAAGAGCAATCAGAGCTTTCTTAACTCTTACCTTCTTGTGTAGCACTACATCCCCCATTTCATTTACAGAGTATTTCATTAATATTTTTGGAAAAGGTAAATAATTTAGGTATATTATTAGTATTTTTAAAAACGGTTATTCTTTTAAATTCTACAGTATTTTTAAAAAAAAATTTAATGTGTTCAATGGCAGACTAAATGGGGCAAAAAAGTGACTATATCCCTTTTCTTAAAATCTGTAGCTTTACTACTTTTTAAATTTTTTTTTTTTAAAGATTTTAATCTTTTATTTATCAAAAAATTATTTTCTTTGGCTACAACTATTACACTTCTAAAAAAACATTTGGGAGCAGCTCCTACGTCTAGCCCCAAAAATGGAATGCACACCCCTCCTTGTGCCTTTAATAAAAAAGGAGTGTGCTCCTTTTTCTGCTCCATCAATACATTGTAATGTTACATCAAATTTCAACTCTATTTTCACCTAATCCACACAATTTATTGTTCTCTAATTAACCAAAAACATCAGCCTTAAAATGTATTTCTTTATTTTTATGTGTTGATGAAAAGTGGGTAAACTAATTGGTGGGGGTAGAAAATTTTTAGAAATTTAGATAAATAATCTTTTCTTGCATACAAAAAATATACCCTCAAATAAATATTAATTTTATTGATAAAAAGAAGAATCTTGAAATATCTTTATTTGAATATTGAATTTAAATTTCCTACAATGCCACATTTCATGATAATTTCACCAATTTTCTGAACCGATGTAACATTTTTTTTTTTTTTTTTTTTTAACTAAATGAAAATGATTTTTCAAGTAACTGTATGTACTTTTTTAAGAATCATTAGCAAAAAATGTGTACAGTTTGTAAACCATTTTTTAACTGTTAAAAGTTATGTCATCTATGTAAAATAATGTCCTGTATGAGAATCATTGGAGTGGTATGGAACAAGAATATTGTTTGTGTCTGTTAACTGTAAACTAAGTTCCCTCTCTCCTGCCACATAAACTTAATGTGTTTTTGACATTTTTTTCTTATTTTTTCTAGGCCATTTGTGAGCTTTTTGGCATAGCACAATTAACATTGAAATAATATATCTTTTCAGACTAATTTATAGAATATTTAATGCAATTTAAAGTACCCACTCATACACAGACATTGTGATGGATAGACTGTAGAATTTTGTCAAAAATATTAATCTTTAGCTTTGAATCAGATCAAAAGAAAAAATAGCAATTTCAGTATTAACAAAAAAAATATTTAAAAGAAATATCTTCACATAAATATTTTCAAAAGTGTCTCTTATAATTGAAAGCCAGTCCAAAACTGACAAGTCTTTTATAAAATTTATACTTAAAATTTTTTATTTTAGGAGTGGCAAAAGAAACACGTCATTGCTTCTTTGCTCCTCTAAAATGGAGTGGCTCTTGCTTCTTGTAAAAGAAATTCAGTCAGTCACTACTTGACTACAGCAAAAAGAAGCATGCTTTATTTGGTTCAGAATCTGTTGGACACCTGATTTTAGTAGCCCTTTTTACTTGGGTTTCTGTCCCTTCTTGTGGGCTCATTTGGCTTGTCTTTGAAATTTTCCCAATTAGCTTCTCTCTGGATCTGATAAGCATTCACTACTCAGTCATTCTCTTAGCTATCAATATTTTTTCCAATAAATATACTGCTCCCTTTTGCTAGCTGATCTACTTCTGCAATTATTTTTTACTGTTTGTATATGATTATTAACATTGTGTTAAATTTAATCTTTTGTTAATTTGCTAATACTCACGAAATATCCAACCAATATTAATTAAATAATCCTCTAATTTTATTAAAAGATCAGCCAATATCCAACTGATATTAATGAAATATTTTGTATCAAATCATGGAAATGATGACATTCCATGTTTAATCCCTTTCTACTTCGAAATTAATGGGTTTTGCACAAATTAGTCTTTTAATGCTAATAAAATAATGCACATTACCAATATCAATAACTTAATAAAAATATACATAAAACTGAACCTGCTGTATCTTTTCAGTCTAATGTGAACTTTTTCTGAAAAAAAAGTCTTAAATCTACTTCCCTTTTGTTTTTTAAATAGTTTTTATTTCTTTTAATCTTGAACCTAAACTTTATCTGAAATTTGTCCATATTGTGTTATATGTATACACATATAATATTAAATTTTATATAATAATTTGATTTAAAATGTTTTTTTTTTTTCACTACACAGTTCTAACCATGTTTCAAAAATGGAAGCTGAAAGCTCCAAATTTAATTTTGTAATTAAATTAAAGACATTAGTTCCATTTCATCCTCAAGCAAATTTTGAAGTAACTTTTAAAATTACTGGGTTTAAAGACACAACAAAAATCATAATTCACGTTTCCCACTACAAGGATAATAAATCCTACAAGACCGGATATCGGAAACATTAGTAAAATGATCCTTGAAAGGGTAAATAAACAAATTAAAGAAAAAAATAAGCCTGAACTTTGGATTAATACCAAGGAAGTGATAAACTTACATAAAAGAAAAAACAATTGTACACTAATGCAGTTTGATATTGACAATTATTACCAATCAATATCTAAAGAACTATTTATGAATGCGTTGGACTTTGCCACCTACTATACAGATATTACAGATGAAGAAAAGAACATTATTCTATATGTGAAAAAATCGGTACTGATACATAAAGGTGAGCAATGGATTAAGAATTCTTATGACCACTTTGACATCACAATGGGATCACTAGACTCAGCTGAGTCTTCTGATCTCATAGGTCTTTTTATATTATACAACCTTACAGTGCACAGTGATATTAATATAACTGACATTGGTTTGTACAGAGACAATGGACTTATGGTTATTAGAAACTCAACTAACTTCAAAATAGATAAAATTAGAAAGGTATATAAAGAATTTAAAAGCATGGGCTTAAAAATTACGGTTAACACTAAATTAAAAAAAGTGAACTTCCTGGATATAACATTAGATTTAAATAAAAATACATACACACCTTATAAAAAACCCAACACCAATCCTTTATATATACACCCTAAATCAAATCACCACCCCATCTATAATTAAACATATACCATTATCTATCAGTAAAAGAATTAGTACAAACTCGGCAAATGACAAGATTTTTGATGAGCATATCAATTCCTATAATAAAGCTCTAAAAGAGAGTGGCTACAAAAACCCAAAACTAACTTATATGAAAATGGAAAGCATAGAAAAAACAGATGTAGAAAAATAATTTGGTATACGCCCCCATACAACCAAAAGAACAAATTAGGACAAAAATTCCTCGCATTAATAGTCAAGCATTTTCCTAGTGAAAGTAAACTAAGTACTATTTTCAATAAAAACACACTAAAATTGAGTTACAGCTGTATGGAAAACTTAGAAAAAATTATTAAGAAACATAATGCTAATATCTTAAATAAACACTTATACCAAAACCAAAAAAATTTAGACAATGGAAAAATAAAAATAAAAACTGATGAAAATAAACAAAAATTATGTAACTGTAGAAACCCTCATAATTGCCCTCTACAAAATAAATGTTGCACAGAATCATTAGTATACCAATGCAATATCTCTTCAATTGAAAATCCTGAAAACATAAAAATATATATAGGTTGCACTAGCCATGAGTTCAAAAAAAGATTCAACCAACATCAAAGTTCTTTTAGGATAAATAAATATAAAAATCAAACAACTCTCTCGAAGTACTTCTGCACCTAAAAGAATCAAACAAAACACCTACAGTAAAATGGAAGTTAATAAGAAAAGCTAGAATATGTAGGTCATTAAATGACCCATGTCCTTTGTGTATACATGACAAACTATAACACTAAGTTTATAAAAAATAAAAATTTACTGAATCAGAGAAATGAAATAGCTATTTTATGCCGTCATTGTCAAAAATTTTCCTTGAATAATATTTAAAAATAAAAATAAATTTAAAAAGTGCGACCAGTTAATATACATACTTATATTTAACGTGAAAAAATAATTTTATATACTGTAAGTAATTCTATTACATTTACTGGTTTTTAAAAAAAAAAAAAAAAAAAATAGTCTATTAAAATAACAGTGAAAATATTTTAAAGTTGTATTTAAAATTGTAGTTAAATAAAACGAATTCTAACCTAACTAAATTTTACTTAAATAATATTTAAATATAGTTTAAAAAATAAAAAAAATTTGTTACCTAATAATATACATACTTGATGTGAAAATAATTCTACATACTGTAAGTGATTCTAATACATTTACTTGTTCTTAAAAAAAAAATATAGTATATTAAAAATTAAAGTGAAAATATTTTTTAAATCGTAGTTAAATAAAATATATTCTAACCTAAACACCCCCCAAAAATCTTTAAATATACAAATAGAAAAAAATGCCGTAAGAATTTTTGCCGTTAACAATAAAAATTTAAAAAAAATCCAGACGATATCCATTTAACGGATGTCAGATTTCATTGAAAACTACATCCCTACCCCTACCAAAATAATAACTGATACATCAAAATACAGCCATAATGAACACACAAACACCCCTTGTCTGGTTGAATTGGATTTCTCTGTATCCTTGGAAACGTGAATTATGATTTTTGCTGTGTCTTTAAAACCCAGTAATTTTAAAAGTTACTCCAAAATTCGCTTGAGGATGAAATAGAACTAATGTCTTTAATTTAATTACAAAATTAAATTTGGAGCTTTCAGCTTCCATTTTTGAAACATGGTTAGAACTGTGTTGCGAGAAAAAAAAACATATTTTAAATCAATTAATTTATAATATTAATGCTCTGTAAATTTACATTGAGCACTATTTTGTAAAAATAAAAATATCTATAAGAACACCGGATTATATATCTTACTGTTCTTTCTTTTTATTTATATATACTTTTTTTTTTTTTTTTTTTTTTAGTTACTAGAGATAAGAAAATTGATCTGGAGAAGAAACAAACTTCAAGGAATGTATTTCAGTGTTATGTTATTGGTAGCAAATCATCTGGGAAGGTAAGTATTTTAATTCAATATAGAAATTTTGGGGTCTAAATTATATTGAAATTACCTTTAGTAATTTTATTAAATCTACTGTTAACATTGCAAGTAAGAATAAAAGTGAGAGTAGTAATTGGAATTCTTTGTTATTTTAATAATTTCAATTTAATGGATGCAGGTTACTTTATCTCAGCTTACTGAAAAATGATTTTCGTTTGTAGATGTTTTTGTTTTCATCATACAAATAATTTACAATTTGCTTTTTCTTAGTCCATTATGCAGATTTTTATATTGTACTTTCAGTATTCTTAAAACAAAAAAATCTCTTGCTAATTAAATGTACCTCTTTGGTAGGTGTAAATTGATTTATTATCCATCTTCAAACTGCACCTTCTCTAGTGATGACTTATTTTGTGTTTTTATTCTGTTTATTTTTGTTTACCATTAGACTTCATTCTTACAAGGTCATTTGGGTCGAAATTTACGTTATGTAGCTACAATCAACAAGGAACATTTTTCTTCATTTACAATTAATACTGTCCAAGTTTATGGGCAAGAAAAGTATTTGCTGGTAAGTTACATTCCTTTTTTAAGTATAAAGTATTTCTTTTTGGTTTTCATTTTTACTCTGTGTGTGTGTGTGTCCGTGTCCTCATCTTCATTGCCATATTCATGTTTTGGCCATTGTACACTCTGGCCTTCTTCAAGTGAGTGGAACTTTGAACTGAACCCTTTCATCCCCCAGGGTAGATTGTTCTAGTTCCACTTAATATGGCTTTACCTGTGTATGCTTGTCAATTGTGAGTGTCTTCAGATTATGATGATTTATTTTTTGTCTTTCATCTTTAGAAAGTGATGTTTTTCTAAAATGTATGTTTCTTTCTTGGTTTTATTTTAGTATATGTATATGTCTCTTTCTTGGGTTTATTTTAGCTGCATGAGGTGGATGTGTCACTGGGTGACATGCTGACCCCAACAGAAATCAACTGTGATGTAGCCTGCCTTATCTATGATGTTACCAATCCTAAATCCTTTGAATATGTGGCTAAGATGTTCTTGGTGAGGTCAACATTTTCATTTTGTCACCTGTTCAAACTTGTTACATTTATATTATTTTGATATATATTTTTTTATCCACTTCAAACTGCTAACTTTAACCATCAAAATGTGTCCAATCATAAGGAATGTAATAAAAAAATAGCAACAGTAAGAAAAATAGTTATATATTAATAATTAATTTACTTCATTTTGAATTTAGTAACTTAAAATTAACAAATTTTCTCTTCAACTGTTAAATTCATTTAGTTTCCTGTATGTTAACTGATTTATGCAACATTGAAGTTTTGATATGACTTTGAATTTGAATGATCAACCAAAACATTTTAGTGTAATTACATAATTGTTAGGTAATTTCAAGAGCTGAGAATATAGTTTTACTAAGCTGAAAGAAAGAATTTCATGTTTTTACCTTATCAAGAGAAATGTTTTTTTACAATAACAGATTGTTAGGGCAAAATCAGAGTGTGCCGTATTGAAAAGAAATTGGCCCAATGTTATTCGTTATATCAGGCAAATGATATAGATTTTGTGTTTATGATTGCACTCAAAAACAATGTATTATAACTTATGGAAAGGTTATTGTTATAACACACACTCATACTTAGTATAACGTAATTCATTAAAGTATCCTCTGTAAGTAATGCTTAGGCCATTGCCGTAATGCCTGTATACTTAGTATGAAGACTGACTCCAGTACGACTACCCTTGATCTCATACCATGGAACTATTTATAATATTGGATGAGTTCATAGAGTCACTGGGGGTGTACTCTTTACTCTACAACACCTCCACCTTTTGAAATTACTATTTTATTAAATAAATATATTTTTACTTAGTATCTCCCCCTCCTCTTTCTGGTGAGTTCATTAATGTACTTTACTTTGTAACGTCTCCATCTCAAACCCACCTCTAGTTCTTCTGTATGTTTTCTTTTCCTTGAACTTGTCCTTGTTGGTTCTACAATTTGTTTTGATACTGGCTTTTAACCAGTTCTTCAGGTCTTTCATCAGTTAGTCTTCAGCTAATTCTGGTGCCTTTTATGGTGGAATTTTTTTCCTTTCGCCATGAAAACCAATTTTACTATTTTTATGTTGTCTTCTCATGTTTCCTTTCCATCTTTGTAGGCTCTAAAGAATACTTTATCGCCAATCTTGAAAGTATTAGTGTCACTTTTATTAACCGTTTGTGATTTTCAACTTGGCAATAACTTATCGAACACTAATTTCACCCTTCTAGCAAACATTAATTCCACTGGCAACATGCCTGATGATGTGTTGAGGTTGGGTGTTAACCAGTACACTCTCAAAATATTTTGAAGTGCTACCTCATTTAATTTCTCCAGACTTGCTTTTTTCAATATTCTTTTGAATGTTCCCACAAACCATTCCACTTGTCTGTTAGACTTTGGATGATATGGCGGGGTTGTAATATGTTCTATAGAAAATAACTTGCAAAAGTCTTGAAATTCTTTTCAAGTGAAATGTGTTCCATTATCTGATACTATGGTATCTGGTATGCCATATCTTGCAAACAGTTCATGCAAGAAATTCACTGTCATTGAGAATGTAGGTTTTTGCTTTTGTAAATTTTTGGCCATTTATGGCCAAACTATGAACTACCACTAGATAATATGCTGCATCCATAGGACCTGCAAAAGTCTATATGCAATCTTGACCACAGATTGGCTGTCTTTGACCAAGGTTCTATCTTTGTGATAGGTAGTTTCGCTGCTAGAGTACAACCTCTACATGCTTTTATTGTTTTTTCGATATCTTGGTCCATTCTGGTCAAATATACAAACCTTCTCATGAGAGATTTCATTCTAGAAATGCCAGGATATCCAAAAAGAAAATCCTTTAATATACGTTTCTGTAACACACTTGGTATTTTGTCTGTACATTACAATACCATTGTATATTACGTGTTCAATTCTTTATTGTTCTTTTTTAGTTTCTTTTAATTGCTTCTTTATTTTAGAAATAAAGATGTCCTTTTCTGCTTTTTTTTTAATTTCATCCAATGTAACTGATAATTCTCATACTACATTGCACAGAATGTTTTTAATCTCCATCTCACTTTTTAATGCTGCTATGAACGTGTCCTCCAGTGGTTCCAAATTTTTAGGTATTAACCTAGATAATCCATCCACATGACCTAATGTTTAGCCCCAATGAGTGTGACATACTACAATGTCAAGTGAAAAAAACAGAACTGTGACATTGTATAGGAACAGATTTCAGTTGATGCCTACACCTAAAACATGACTGGGCAGAAATCAACCCACAGAAAGTGTATAAATTTTGAGCTGGTTATTGGAGGAAGTTTAGCAACTGTCTCCAGACTGGAAATGACATGAATACACTCTTTCCCTTGACTTAGATTATTAGCTAGTATTCAACCATTCTTCATTTTTATTACTCAGATTTAATTTTTATTATTATGTTATTAAAGGATATAAGCAGCAGCTTAAAAAAAGATACAGCCAAAGACTAAGATTTGTTGTTCCATGAAATATTGCCATGATAACAAAAATGGAAACAATCAGAAAATATTACAATTAACAAAACATATGTGATGTAGAGCATTACAATTTTTATTTTACACTTTTGCCTTTCAGCGTTATTTTGTAGATACAAGAATTCCAACATTATTTGTAGCTTGCAAATCTGAGCATCAAGAAGTAAGTCAAGATTTTGAGATGACTCCAGCTCAGTTTTGCACAAAGTTCAAGTTACCCCCACCACAGTACTTTACTTGTATTGACAAAGTGAATAAAGACATTTATGTCAAGTTAGCCACTATGGCTGCCTATCCGTAAGTAGCTCTTTTCCTTGACTGTCTTTTTGATTTTATTTTTTAGTTAAAGGGTTAATTTTACTAATTTTAGGCTGCTTGTTACTTTACTCTTTTGTCTGTATATATTGATGTATAGTTTTGTGATTACAAAGTTACTGTTTTATTAGATTCACAAAATTTGACTTGCTTCTGCTTGTCATATCAGTTTTTATTTTTGAATGTTTATAAACTGCGCCTAGAGATTATATGCAAAAGAGGTATTGTCAAATATTTCATGTAAAATTCATAGATATGTGTTATCCAATGAAATAATTTGTACTGTTATGTATAGCGAGTAAGCATGAAAGCAATTAAGTCCCAATTTTTAATTTCAGATTGATATTTAGTATTTTTTCAGTAATTATAGCAATTTGCAATGTCGAGATTATTTGCAAGAACTAGAATTTAGTATTATGGCTTGTAAAAAAGAACTAACAATGAATGAAAAGAACTATATAATCAAAGAAATTAGCAAAGGAAAGTCTTCACTTCAAATTTCTAAGGATTTGAAAAGGGATCATCGAACAATCAAGAAAATATGTCAAATGGGAATTCAACCAAGGAAAAAAAGTCTCGGGCTGAATTCAGGAATTTAACAAAGCAAGATCTATCACATATCCGAAGAGAATTAATAAGAAACCCAAATGCGTCAAGTGCGTTCATATTTGAGGCTGCTGGTGCTCCTATGGTATCAAGGGAAACTAGGTGTAAATCATTAAGGAAGTCTGCTGATGTAAAAAATCAAATAATGAAACCCATTTTAACAAAAAACATAAGGAAAGAAGATTGCAGTGGGCAAGAAATACATGAAAATTGATTTCAGTAAAGTGCTTTTTACAGACGAATCAAGGATCACCCTCGATGGGCCTGATGGATGGGCTCGAGGATGGGTTTGCAAGCAACATGACTCAAGAAAATTTTTTAAATGCCAACAAGGCGGCGGTGGGATCATGATATGGTCTGGGATTATTGGTAATGAGCTCGTGGGTCCATTTAAACTGAAAGATGGGGTTAAAAGGAATTCCAAAAGTTACTGTGATTTTCTAGAGCAATATTTCTTTGAATGGCTTAATAACCAGTCTTTAGCCAAGCGTAGATCTATGATCTTTATGCAAGACAACGCACCAAGTCATGCATCAAAGTTTACTAAATCCTGGTTGAAAGAAAAGGGATTTGTTGAAGATTCTCTTATGGACTGGCCTTCAAATAGCTGTGATGTGAATCCCATTGAGAACCTGTGGAGCATCCTCAAGAGAGATATTTATTCTAATGGAAGGCAATTCAACAGCAAGTGTGACTTCTGGGAGGCAGTTAAAGTTGCTTCAAACAACTTACCAGCTGCTAAAATTGCAAATCTAACATCAGATGTTGACAATAGGCTGCTAAGTGTTATTGAAAAGAAAGGAGCATTTGGGCAATAAATTTTAGGTTCTTATTTTTTGTTAATATATCTTTTATTCTTAAAATAAATTTGTTTTAAAATCTTTTCATATTACTTTATTACATTAGTTTTACAAGGTATAATAATGTAAAAGTATCAAAATAAATAGTTGCAAATAAACTACTGACAGTCAAATTAGTCTGTTTCGTTAACTTAGTAAAAAATTTTTTCCAACCAAAAACAATAGTTTTCTCTATCACTATATATCTAAGTTAATAATATTGAGTAGAATCTAAACATGATAATAGGACTTTTAACATTAAAGACGCAACTCTTTATACCAATTCATAACTTGCATATAATCTCTAGACGCAGTTTATAATTTGTTTACAAATGTTGAAGGCAGTAAAAATCATTTAAGGGTGTAGAGAGAAATTAACATATTAAATGAGTAATTGTTTAAAAATTATCAGTCTGACAAATTTTTATACTCAAAATACTTTGTTTGTATAGACCTGTGGCAATATCTGTTAAATCTTTTAGTTGATAAGATTTAATATTTATGTAGTTTGTCATAACATATTGAAAATGTTAAAAAGATTATAGGAGCAATAAGTATGCAAATATTACATGATACAGATAAAAATATGGTCCCTGAGTAATCATGAAATTTTTTATATATATTTGCATGCTGATCCCAAGGCAATTTGAAATGAATATATCATATTTTTTCTAAAACACTTCATGCTAATTTCAAAATATTTATTATTTTAACTGTGATTTATCAACATTATATTTCACTCAAAGGAATTTACAGAAAAAAAAACTCCTTTCTGATCACTATTTTTTTTTATTTATTGATTGTTTTGGTTGCAGACAAAAGCATTTCTGCTCAAATATGGTTTAATTATGAACCTGTTTTTTATAAGTATTTCAGCTGTCAGTACGAAGTCTATTTTAGCTTTCTTTTCTTTTCTTTTTTTTTCCAGCAACCTCAAACGCCTGGTGCATATGCTGCTGGTACATCAGCGATCACTTTGGTTGGAGGAAAAACTGAGGTGGTTTTTCTCTCTCTATCTTTTTCACTCCATTCTCCAATATTTTTCCTTTGTTTCAAATTCTTTCTTTTGTACTATTGAACTTTGGCTTTATTGTACATGCCATTTTGACTTTACAACCATTTTTATTAATGATAAATGACCCCTTCAAAATAATTATTCCTTCAGGCTCTTTGTGTAGTCTTATTAAAATATATTGTAGATTTTTTTTTTCTGGGAGATGTATATTGCAAAGTAAACTATTATGAATTTATGACATAATGTTAAAAACTAAAAATTATACAAGTTATTACTTTCAAACAATTTAAATTTTACCTGTTTTATTTTATAATAATAACAATAATAATATATATATATATATATATATATATATATATATATATATATATATATATATATATATATACTCTACTTTTGTATCAAGCACTATTTTTTAAAATAATAACTAAAATACTAAGGAACTTTAGATTATTTACCTAACCAGTTCCTTCCTTTTCTATATATTTTCACATATATATAGTAGCAATGAAGTCACTATGCAGTTACTTATAATAAAAAGCAAAGCGCTAAAGCAGGTGGTTTGCAGTTCAAACAGTATCAGTAATTAATTTACTATTGTTTACCATAGTATTTTATTGTTATTAACCAGAATCATTTTAATACTATATTTCTGGATTGTTGATTAATTGTTTTGTCTTAATTTCTATTGTAACTAACTGTATAGTGACTTTATTGCCACCCTTTATATAGAGCTATCAAAGGTTGCATAATTTTACAACTGGCAGTTTCCCACTTGTTGTGAACCTCACGATGGAGATAAATCCCTTTTTCTTTTTTTTTGACTGTTATATTTTAAGTTATATAAAAACTTAAGCAAAAGTTGGCTTTTTTTTTTTGTTTTGTTTTTTGTGGATGGGGGAATCTTGCCTATTTATAATATGTTATTCATTTTATCCCAAGTAGGACATAAAAGCCACAATCATATCTCTCCACTGAAGATTGTTGTGGTAATTTTATTGTTCTGCTCTCTTTTTGCTTTTTAATATTTCCTGTTGTTCAGTGCAGAATTATGCTATCACAGCTATAAAGATTCCTTGTGAATGTGATAGCCGCAACTCGATTTCCAGCAATGTCATCACTTGGTTCATCCTTAAATATGAGCAGCACAAATCTGTTTTTTTAGTCCAGCTAGGGTCTTGCACAGATATGGCAACATTGGGCATTAATTACAGTTGTTGTTACATGAATGCTGTATAGCATGTAAAGAATGACTTCTCTGTGTGTGGCATCTTTGATGATTTTTGAGGCCTGCCCTATCTAAAGTGTAATGAACGTGGTCATGTTTAAACATTAAGATTAAATTTTCTAGCAACAATGAATACCTCTCTTGAGTTTTTCATACACAATGCAATTCTGTTCAAATCCTCTCTTGCCATTTTGCACTGCTTTATCCCAGGATGAATGGTATAAAGCTTGGTTTCCTCAGTCATTTTGCATGGTGTTGCCATTTTTTAGTGTCTTCTTGATGTAATCTTTATATATTAATTTTGGCTTGTGCACTGGTCTTTTTCCTTCATCCTGTTCACCATATAGAAACTGTTTAGGAATCCTTCACATAACTACTGGTGCTGAAGTAACAGACTCTAAACTGGTAGTCTGGCTGCAGTTCAAGGATGCTGTCACGTACATTTGCAACTGGACACCTAATATACACTGTTGATGAAATCCCTTCAGCTTTTTCAAAAGCCTTTGTTAAATTAGTGAAGACTTTATATAGGTTCATCTTTTGCTCAATGCTTTTCTCCTGTAATTACCTCACAAAAAAGATAATGTCTGCTCTTTCTCTACCATGTCTGAACCACACCGTGATTCAGGAAGGACTTCATCAGTGATGTTGCTGAAAAGTCTCTCCAGCAGAATCTGAGATAATATCTTGCTGACGAGAGAGGAGTGATATCCCATGGTAACTCCAATAGTCATCCTTGTGTAGGTAATGCCCGCAGTCATCCTTCCCTCTATACAGAACAACCATCAGTGCATCTTTCTAATCATCTTGTATACTCTCTTTTATCCAAACCTCTTAAGTTGAATAAAAGTAGATTTTCACTTCCATATTTCAGCATAGATAGCATCCATACCAGTGGTCTTATAACCGTTCTTTTTTTTTTTTTTTTTTTTTTATAAAAGTGAAGGAGCATATTCAGGGTGGGGGCACTGCCAGAACACAGATGAGGAGGGATGGAATGAACAGCAGCACTGGAGACAAGCGAAACAAAACAGACACATCCACAGCAGAGGCGACAAAGAATTCCACACAGGAACAGCACAAACAAAGGTTGAACATAAGCAAGACACAGAAAACGACAACGCATAAGAAATCAGAATCATGGTGTTCAACCCAATAGTAATACTGGCGACTCACTGACTGATGAAACAAATGAGCCCAGAAACATTGGTAATTGTGCTATGTATGACACAAATCATTTGCATAAACAAATTCTTGGCAGCACCTAGCCAACTGCCACAACCATATTTTTTGCAAGTGGACATTGTCTTTTTGATTAACGGGGATGTGCAACCTCATCAAAGGTAACCAGCTGTTCATCCTGCCTTTCATGTCCGCTACACTCTCCCCTGATCTCGTGATTACGTATGTGGCAACCTGGGGCTGGTCTCATGCTCCTTTATGGTAATATGACTGCAACTTCCTCCCTGAACAATTTGTTTGCAGAAGTGTTATCTGATGCATCTGTATCAGGTCCACGGCTGCTTACTTCAGGGGGATCACCATGTACATCACTGATGGTGATCATTCTTGCACTCTGGGTGGAACATTCGCTGTCACACCCACTCTCTGAAGGACTTGGGACTCAGGTCCCTTAAATGGTGAGGCATCTTGTCAACAAGAACATTCTGCAGGCTAGTCATGCTTGTAATGCGTCTACATGCATATGGGGATATTTGGAGTAATGTATCAATAAACACTTCCGTTACACAACACTGTTTTCTTGCCGCAATTTGCTTTATATTCCAATGATACCTTTTCATGATGTCATTACTGCAAAGGACATGTGCACAGTGGAACCATAGTCAAACTCCCCATTCATTCAGGAAGTCCATGAAGGACTTGCTGCAAAATGATGTGTATATTGTCAGTAAACATTTCAGTCGGTGGACCACGCTTGTAAAATAGAGCTTCCTAGTGGTTAATGACACTTGCCATCTCAGCTGATGCCAGACAGAAAACCATGTAGGCCTGTAGTTGGTGAGCAACAGGTAGTATATGCTCTGGTAGTGGAATATGTCCATTCCCACTCAATACCAAGTGTTGCTGATGCCCAATTTGCCCTTCACCCAACATGGGGGTGGTGGGTCAATTGACTGGAACTCCTTACACTTTCCTACTACAGCCCTCACTGATGCCTTCAAAACTGTGGGATCAACCTGCCTGACAAAGTACAATGTCCGCCTTATGCCAGGATGGCCACTTCGATGATGATATCCAGTCAGAATCAAGCTTACTTGAACAGAACACATATGGTTTGTGGGTTCAAATGAAGCCATTACTGCAGGACTCTTGTCAGACCATCTGCTCAAATATGTTCTGACCTCACCAAGGTTACGTCTACCAACAACCCATACTCTTCAACCATGCTCCTGAGCACACTGAGCTGTTGCCTGATGTGACACCCTCTAGTGGTCGCAGCACCAATATGAGACATCCTCTGGTCGCGACGCCAATATGTGACACTGCACTGTCAGCCCGTGATCAACTCCCAGTTGTGGCGTGAAGCTGTAATGTTTCTTCCACCAGCGTTTTAGGGTTGACTTCTTGTCGCTGCCACCAGCCTCTGTCCCGGTCGATCTGGTCGTTCCCAGTTCGATACCAACTTGTCGTTCTCAGCTCACTTCCAACGTCTGGTTACCAAAGTAACTACTTTGATCTCAAGTCTATCCTACCCATGTTGTGACTTTGATCTTAGGTAGCTGAAATCAATCCGGCATCGGGCCATAGTACAAGCTGAATCCGGGGTGAAGGTGATATCGCACAAGTGTAAGTAAAAGAAACAATAAAACAAAACTCAAGTGGTTCAAATATGTTGAGAAATAACAAATTATCTTTATCCGTCTGTTATATACAGGAGTGTGTTTCTCTCCCAGCTTGTTTCTATGGATTTGTGACACTTTGGCGTTTCTTAAGCGAGTTTTGGTATCTTAAGCTGTTCGTCAATCTTAACTTGCTTTTGGTAGGAAGGCGAAGTTGAAAGGATGTGGAATCTCTCGGTCATCTTCTGCAAGGAAACACACTGACTCTGTCCAGAACTGAACTCCAACTGCGAATCAGCTGCCAAACTACCCAGGGACATTCGTTTATATGGGTACCGACTAAAACCCAGTGTGGGGCCTGATGTGCCTTGGGTTCCTCGATAATTCTTGATTCCCAACAAGAATTCTCTTTGTTCTTAGGCCAGGAAAATTAATTACTTCCTATTTTTGGAAGATTAATCACTTTCCATTGGGGGGGGGGTCTCTGTTGTCTGTGAGGGGAGGTCGGAGGAGAGTTATCCTCCTAGACTCTTCCTCTCTCACATTGGTATCTCATACCAATCCCCTCAGTGGGTGTTAACAACTTCTCCGCCTTTCTCACACATTCACCTCCGCCTATCACCCATGCTACCACTTGACCAATGATCTCTTGGCAGTGTAGGTGTGGCTAGACTGGCCCTCTTAAAATTATTATCCAGAATTTTTGTTTACAAAATCCTTTTTCTCTTTTTTTTTTTTTTTTCATCGGCCAAAACATTTTTTTTCACAAACCACAGATTGCCAAATAATTCTTATCACATCTTTCTTTTGAGGAACACCCAAAATTCACTTAGCCAGGACTCTTTACCGGCTCATCAATCACTGTCAAAACCCGACATCTGGTTTCTCCGCTAAGTCGACTTTTAACTGGGGGTCTGTGTTTACCTGAGAATCGAATTCTCGTACCTTAAAAT